ACGGTACCGATCGGGTAATGTTTCCATGGTAAGACCACAATGCACACCGGCCCCTTCCCTTACACACTGGGTAGACATGCGTGAGTTATTACACGTGCACTGCAGACCTCTCTCTCTCTTTCTACATGATGTCATCTGCGACTTCGGGTTTTTGGGTACGACTCGGTACTCGTCTACCCGATGTCCTCACGGGTAGCACGGGTACCCGACTACCCGTGCACACCACTAGTTATAACGAACTTCGGCTAAAAAGAGCTAATTATCCTACTCAATGGTGTTCGTTAGATCAGCCAGGAGTCCACTGTAGCGTGTTCACAGTGCCGCAGTGTTGTCCGCCGAAAGAACTGGCCGGGTTCAGGCTCGTAGCGTACAGGTAGACTGTTCTTATTTTCATATGCTACAGTCTATGCGCAGTCCAGACACGGTGTATATACCCACATGCAGTGCTGGGTGAAATTCTAGCCTGTTCGTTCCTTCTTCGGCGCCCGACAGTACTATAGATCTTCTTATCCGTCTATTATCTATGTTCGGGAACGGACACGATATAATTTTCTTTTTGTCTTTTTTTTCAATCTATGGACACGTTCTATTACACACAATTCCATCGTCGGAATCGAGACGGAATCCAATTCCGTCGCTTCTGAAGAAAGAAGGAGAGAGAGTGGAATTTCTAATTCTTCCGCCGAAATTTATGCACTCCGCTTACGAACGCAATGCTGGGTCCACATGCGCGTGATGGTGTACGAGATTCCACATGACCTACTACGGTCTTACATGATGTGGTATGGCACGATTAAAATGTATGGGAAGTAAGTTCCAGTCGTTCGTTTACACAACCGCAATCCGTTCATCCTTGTCACTCGAGGATTATAAAACTTTGAGTCCAGAATGTGCAATGGGAACGCGTCCAATGTATGCCAGTACATGTATCATTATGATTATGTCATACTGCCTTGCTATCTTTCACACACGGCGGGAGACTACAAGCTCATAGCCGCAAGTTGAGAGCGAAGGGCAAACTGTTCAATAGTAAAATAATTCAACCAACCTGGCGCTGATGTTTGAGCCTTTACCACACAGCAGCACTTGACAGCAACTAGCAGCAACAACAAGCGCACTGAGTGCATGACGGAAGCAGTTCGTCGGGTCCCAAGTGGCTCCATATCCGCGGCTTGCCCTATTCCCTCTAAGTACTTTTTGAAAACAAAAATAATCTTCTGTTTAGCAGCGTTTCATGGGTCGACAACTGCAGTACAACTGTAGGCTCTGCACTTTGTGGATCGAGCACTTTGCCGGCAATTGCCAAAACGAATACGAAGACAAGTCTTACTCCTTTGCAACTGTACCACTACTGGCACTAGGACTAGGTATTTCTGGTCATCGAGCAAGCCCTTCGCTTACTTTTATTAAAAATACAGTGTTCTCAGTTGTAGACTACACTAGTCATGACTACTCTTCGTCGACGAGTGGAACACGCCTGCCGGCCCAGGCCAAGTAATTATTTTGTTTGCGGAAGGCAGCTAGCGCTACAACAGCTACCAGGCGTTCATTGATTCTCGACAGCATGCTAGCACCTGATACTGCAGTATACATGTATGACCTTCTGCCGTTCTGGTGCGGTGGACAGCTGATTCTGTCCACCGCACCTACTCATTTGCTGCAGACTGATCGATCGCACGTAGTCATGACTGGGTCTGTAATCATTTCAACGAGCGAAGAGGACATGAACAGTCTAGACATGGTCATTCGAATCAAAGGCGGGTCACCAAACACGCCTCTGAGAAGTCATGGTGATCAATATGATTGTGACGAGCCTTTCTCGCTGTGTAGACATGCTCCAGTCTGTAGGAGTCGCGAGAAAGGCTCGTTAGATCGCCATGATTCCATGAATGTGTTGTTCAGTATCACAGACATGGCGAGGCGTGTTAGTGAATGGTGAGCCGCCTTTGAATGACCACGGCCTCTTCGCTGGTTGAAATGATTACAGAGATTAGGAACCTATTGTTACTACATTGTAGTACTTGAAATAGAGATGTGAAAACATAGATGGAGCGGCAATGTCCAAAAACTCAAGAATTCATTATCATGGTTCAGCATAATACTTCACAGACATTATAATTATCATAATGTCTGTGAAGTACCATTCCTGCTCTCAACCGGCACAAAGTCGTGAAGTTCATCTGTTGCGGCGGTACGATGATCTCGAACCACACAACCAGGTGACTGCCCATCGCATAAGGCAGAATGACAGCCTGCAGCGGAGGTGACCCATGATGGCCGATAGATGAAGGTCGACGTTCTTTCCGCAATCATGATAGTGTCTTGAGGAACATTGAACACTCTCTGCCAATCATGCCCGAGGTAGAGAAAACTAAAGGCGTAAATGTACCTCTGTCCACTGCTGTCACCCGCTCTCCAAACTTACTACTACTGGCGCTTCTTCATCTGTTCATGGGTTAGGAGCTGGCTGAAGACTTCCCGACGCGACAGCGAGCTTGCCTTAGGCCACCCTTTCTTTTTTCGTTGTTTAACGTCCGCGCCCGCGTACCTTTTTGCCTCCGACCGGAAAAAAAAACAAGAAAGTAGTAGTACCAATAATATGCGAAGTTGTAAATACATCATGTGATTGTGTAGTTTCACAGTGTGCCGATCATGACCTTAAACTTATAATCTTGCCTCTCGGGCATGCCTTTGTCTTGTGTTCTTTTTCTTTTTTTGTTGGCTTTTAAATATCGTACGGTGTGTGTCCTAGTAAAAATCCAGATGTAATGAATTCATGACATGCTAACTCCATGCTATGCACCTGTTTTTTTGGATTCATCAGGCATGTGTTCCAATGTACCATCAAACTTAAGAGTGTTGTTCTATGCCTGCAAGTGCCGTTAGACCCAGAAATATTGTATATCACATGCTTTACTGGTCAAAATGTTTGATTGGGGTTTCCAGTTTTTGGAATGGGCTTTTGTTTTTTTTCCGCCCTCCCGCGTACCTTTTCGCGAAAAAAAGGACGTTAAACAATGAATTAACAAAGGGTGGCCTTAGGGTGTGTCACCCGGATACTGTATCAAAAATGACTACTACTGACCAAACCACTTTACGGGCAGAAACCAATTCCAGTATGAGCACAAAAGTAATTATTGAAGAGAGAAAGCAAGGAAGAGAGCAAGCAATCGCAGGGACACTGTTAGTGTTACTGGATCTCAGCCGGCAGCCTGTCGACACTGCACCAACAACCACGAGCGGACGCGACCTTGGTAGGAGGACGGGCAGCCGCGAAAGCAGGTTATTGCCCAATCTACAAGGCCACTCCGGGTGTGATAAGCTTCTCACTGGCGCGAAGAATTTGCCTGGTTTGCATTCATGCTGACCGTACATGGCTCCATGATGTTTTGTTGCGTTTAGCTTCGCTCTCGGCTCGGCGCCTATCGCTAAGCTTGGTCGTGCCTGGTTACAAAGATCCCACACAGCAAAGGAAAGCGACGACCGGTCCTCTGGATTAGAAACCTGAGAGGCGACATAACTGAGGAATCACTGACTGCTTACCCCTCCACACGCGTGGATCAACTCGGCCTCAAGGAGTTTACACTCTATAACTGCAAGCTGTTCATCAAGCTGGGTAAAGTCCGTGCTCGGATTACCGTCAACGCAGTTGATGCGCCAGCCTTTACCAGCCCTACATTCTGGCCACGTCCGACCTATGCTCGGCAATGGGTGTTTAACCAGCCCCCCCCCCCGGCGCTCCCAGGGAAACGGCACGAATTCCCGCGGCAACAGCAAGGATGACAGCAACACACCACAGGGTCACCCCACCAGCAACCTGGCCTTTGAGCTCATGAGGGATCCCTGGCAACAACAGCCACCTCTGACGGACCAAACTGGGAGCCTCCTGGCGGTAGTGGTACTGGTGAAGCCATGGACTCTGGCACTGACGTAGTTCCTGATGATTCGGAGACAGGCAAGGGCAGAACGGGCGAACAATCCCAGCTGTCAATGCAGCCACCACCGCTGACACGACTGCCGCTTGCGAAAATCCCACTGTCACTGAGATGGCCAAACATCTTCGTATTCTTCTCACCAATGCCTTCACCATGTCCAACAAAAGTGGCGAGCTGCAGCACGCAGTCCGAACACACAACATTGATGTCGCAGTAGTAGTGACGGAAACGAAGTATGGTACAGAGCACTCTGGACTCTGATACACTTGTGCCTGGATACACAGTAGTTCGCAAAGACCGAAATCAGGCAGGAGGTGGTGTAGCTATTTGGGCGAAATCAGAGCTCTCCGTTACTCAGCTCACCCATGTCGCTTGCGGCTCGCATGAGGTGCTGTGGGCGTCAGTATCCACGCACCACGGGCGCTGCACCGTCCTTGGGATTGGTGCTATCTACCGACCCGGATCATGTGCTAAGACTGACACTTCTCTAATAGTTTTAGAGTACCTGGACAGTGTTCTCGACAATGTCCGGCACCTGGGGTCAAACCTAATTCTGGCGGGAGATTTCAATGTGCATAACGCTAGATGGCTGGAGAGCACTAAGCCAACTCCTGCTGGAGAGTCACTTGAGGTGCTATTCGCAATCCACCAATATGGCCACTAGGAGGTCAAACATCTTGGACCTAATCATATCTGATTTGTCCGCCCCAGTGTCCACTTCAATCCATGCTCCCATCGGGCGGATTGATCATGCTGTAGTTGTCTCTAACTTCCAAGCAGTAGACCCAAGGCGGGAACTTACCACCTCCCGCAAGGTTTGGCGCTATGCCTATGCCGACTGGAACCGGCTGAGGGCACACTTCCGTAGGCTAGACTGGCTTTCACTGCTATCCGATGACCCCAATCAATCATGTGAGAGAGTAACTGCTGCCATTCTTTGCGGAATGGAGCAGTATATTCCCTCCAAGGTACCAAGGTATTCGTTACCCGACCATCCAACCCGTCTTGGTGGACACCAGAATGCAGCTTCGCTGTCGAGGTCCAGGAAAATGTTGGAAAGCATGGACGAGGAACCCTGCCAATAATGTTCTGAAGGCTTCCTTTATTGCCTCCGTCGTCAATGCTGCTCACATCTTGCAGTCAGCCCGCACTGTCAGTGACGAGCGTGTTCGGCGGCCACCTCAGTGACAACCAATGGTGGTCCAATGGTGAGAAAGCAGCAGGAATCTCCCGATCTTCAAACATACCCCTGCTGATCGATAACGACGGACCAGAGTATCACTCAAGCAAGGACAAAGCTAACTGCTTTTGCACGATATTTTGCCAACAAATGCAGCCTCGGTCAAATGGATCTACGTCCCGAAGCTCTACCTGACATCCAACACCCTGCGTGCGAGGCTCTATCCAACATACACTTCCGTGTTCCAGAGGTTTGCCACCGCCTGTTGGACATCTCCAAAGCAACGGGCCCAGACGGGATACCAGCTCAAGTCTTGAAGCATTGTTCCATCCAACTGTAATCCATTGTCGCGAAATTGTTCGCACTTTGTCATCGCCATGGTGTCCAACCAACAGTCTTGAAGCTAGCACATGTCGTCCCTGTTTACAAGAAGGCCGCGTGGTCAGCACCAGCCAACTGTCGCCCAGCCTCTCTCTTATCATTTCTATCCAAGGTCATGGAGGCTATTATCAACAGTCAAATCACCAACTACTTGGAGAGACACTCCGTACTTCCTGACACCCAGTATGGTTTCCGTCCGAACCGGGGCACTGCTGATGTCCTCACGGTGCTGCACAATGAATGGGTCTGCACACTCGCTGCTGGTGGCCATGCCCGGGTGATAGCAGTGGATATCGCCGGTTTCACAAACTACCTCTCGAATCGCCAGCTCAAAGTGGTGAGACATGGGCAAACATCAACACCGTTTGCAATCTCAGCTGGAGTGCCACAGGGTAGCATACTTGGCCCCACACTCTTCCATCCTTTACGTCTGTGACATCGACCAGTGCCTAACACCAGGCACTAAGCTGAGCACGTACGCTGATGATACTACACTGTACCATCTCGTACTACCAACTGGTGATCCTGCAAACCCCGGAGACAGGCTCTCGGGGGCTCTCGACCGCCTCTACCTGTGGGCAGAATCGTGGCGCATCCGCTTCGAGCCACAGAAATCACAGCAACTGGTGATCAGCACGATATCATAAACCCCAGCGCTGGACCCAGTAACGTTTGGAGGTATCCCAGTTGCGAAGACGGGGACCCTTAAACTCCTGGGGGTCTCATTTGATGCCAAGCTGTCATTCCGCGACCACCTCCACACTGTTGCAGTCCGTGCAAGCCAACGACTGGGATTTCTCCGACGAGCTGGCCACGTCCTGCCTCGGGGCGGCCGCCTGCGGCAATGTACAAAGGATTCGTACGCCCAGTCCTCGAGTATGCTCCATTGGTCTGGATGGGTGCCTGCCAGACCCATCTCAATCAGCTAGATCGAGTCCAAAGGAGGGCTCTGGACATCATCGGCCCAGGCACCCTCCTGGACTCCCTCAGTCTGCGCCGCTCGGTTGCTGCCCTCACATACCTCTACCAGCTAAGCTTCACTGATGGCCCAGTGCAATTTGCCGCAATGATTCCACCTCCGGAACCGCCACGGCCTTATCCCAAAACCAGAAACAAACTCGACGCCAACCGGCACCCTGCCTACCTGAAGCTTGACCTCCCACAGTGACACAATGCCTCCAACTACATCCGCCGGTCATTTCCATTCCGCTTCGTGGAAGTATGGAACAGTCTTCCAGCATACATGTAGATGAACTTGATAAATATAATTATATTATTTTCTAATAATCTACGTGGAGATAAAAGTTTAATAATAGCAATGAAAAGTATGAATGCCGCAGACATCACCACGCAACATGACAATTTGTTCAAGGTTTGGTTTTGTGTGTTTCCAAAATCGATTTTCACGTTCCGATCATCAGTGGAAATACGGAACTAAAGAGATCAAGGGAAAAACAAAGGTTAAAAATCCAAAGAAGTGTGACACACGACGGGTAACTTGTGTTATCTCGTCCCGATTGTTTGAGTGTGTATGATGATTCCCACTTCTCTGTACTGTGTCGTGCCCGTTATGTCCAGCAGTTGAAGGTCCTTGAAGCTGTTTGTATTCGTACGCATAAGCCCGATTTGTGTAAGCAAAAAGAACATGTTTTAGCACTTAGGTTATTTTCGTGAGTTTGCACCCCGTGTTCATGAGTTGTTTCTGCACTGTTCATGCCCGTTTGTCACACTTACTCTTTATTTTAGTTCTCACTTTTTGTAATACTTACCACAAGTTACCCGTCGTGTGTCACACTTCTTTGGATTTTTAACCTTTGTTTTTCCCTTGATCTCTTTAGTTCCGTATTTCCACTGATGATCGGAACGTGAAAATCGATTTTGGAAACACACAAAACCAAACCTTGAACAAATTGTCATGTTGCGTGGTGATGTCTGCGGCATTCATACTTTTCATTGCTATTATATTATTTTCTTTTGTTTTTTTAATTTTCTCTTTCCCATTTCTGTTGCATTTTCAGATGCTCTTATAAGTGTATCATTCATAGTATACCCCTTGGCCCGCACAGTCCAAATCTGTCCCTGCGGGAATTTGCGGAAAAAACTCTCGAAAACTTGCGCAAGAAATTGCGGCAGAAAACAACAAAAAATGCGACGAAAAATGGGGAATGATGCAGAACTTGCCAGGAATTCGCGGAATTATTTGCAGAAAATTGCGGATTTGGGCAAAATCACGAAATTTGTTGCATCGTATATCTACTCGGGAGTAGTACGAGTCGTGCTGTACTTAGCTGTGCAAATAACCTGCAGGATCATGGAAAGCACTGCGTGAAAAGTGCATAAAAATGTGAGATATAGTGCAGACAACAACATAAAAACGCGGGAAATCGCGGATCTTGCTGAAAATCGCGGGTTTGGGCCAAAATCGCGAAATTTGTTGCATCCGTGGAATCGCGATTTCCTGGAGGGACAGCCAAATAATTAATTCCGAGACCGGAATGGTCAGAGGAGTGCACTGCGCCTACCCAGCACAGCTCTTGCAGCACCTACTACTCCTTTGTTGTCTTTGTACTTCGTATTTTGTCTTTGTCTATTTCATTACCCCCATTATTTTGTAGGGATGTCCACAAAACACATGTATGTACATGTACATGTGTTTTGTACGTGTACATTGCAGATGTACAATGCATAATAATGTGAAGAAGGGGTTGGTGCGACTTCGGAGATACTGTAAATATACAAATTTTCGGCAGCTATTTAATTTCGGCTATATTCGGCACCGACCCAAAACGCCTAAATTAAAACGCCGATGAAAATTATTCACAGCATCTGTCGCACTATACATGTATACACTATGCCCTCTACCCCACGCCGAAAATAAATCGCCGCCGAAATGTCAAAAATCGTGAAGTGCCGAAATTTTGCAGCGCCGAAATTTTGTATATTTACAGTAGTAGGGGAAGAGTGTCCCTTAGGCCTACATGGGAGCTCGCGGTTTTCCTGCCGACTTGAATTCTCACTTGACTGACTCACGACTACCATCCAGAGCACACGAGAAGTCCATCGAACCGTCCACTCGGCACACCTGCAAGAAAGCACCACTCCCTGCTCAATACACAGTGTTTTGGGAAATTCACCCCTCATCAATTGAGCTTGAGTAGGCTGAGGAAGATTGTGGCTGAAGAGCACCACTCTCCAGGCACAAACATCACCAGGGATACAAACTTACAGAGATGCTCCGTTTCCAGCGCGACAAACATCTTGTGAACACCAGATAGCAGCGTGAGTCAGTGTCGCTCATGGAGGTGCTGAACAAGCGCTGAGGACCATTGACTATTCACAACGTTGTTGCCTCTAAACCATCTAATTCGCAAGCCCGCCCTGGGGACAACAATGTGAAGAAGAGGTTGGTACGACTTTGGCGATAGTAGGGGAAGAGTGTGTTGCTCCCTACATGGGAGCTCGCGGTTTTCCTGCCGACTTGAATTCTCACTTGACTGACTCACGACTGCCATCCAGAGCACACGAGAAGTCCATCGAACCGTCCACTCAGCAAACATAATGTTGCATGCAATACACACGAGGCACATGTACATGTACATGTACATGTATGTGGACGCAGAAGACCAGCTAGCACACAGGAGACTGAAAACATCACTGTCTATAAGACAGTACACCATGGTACACTCAACTCTCGGCTCAAGTGCCCGTCACAGGGTGCGGAGACTCCTGAAACGTGCAGGACATAATTATAAATATAATTATATTATGATATAAATAGAAGGAGACTATCAAGCCTGCGGTGAATCATGACTATCACGCTGGCTGGGCCAAGGAAAATAGATACATGTAGCTGAAACAACCCATTATACTAGATTCCACAGGCATAAATCAACTAGTTTCCCTGAGCAGTTGCCATGGGGACAGGATACGCGAGTGGGTTCATTCGTAAGCCAGCAATGAACAAATTTAGCAAGGGCATGCTGCATGGGAATGGGTGATGTGAAGACATCCTAGTGAAAATCCATGCATGCACCAATCAAGGTTCGTAGTCTGAGGCGGACCAGCAAAAGAACTGTGTGTATTGCTGGCCTACAAGACTCACACAACTGACTCACCAATGAAAGTGGCCAGAACAATTATGTCCTAATTCACGCATACCTTTGCATTGCGAGAAGGATTCTCACCTGGCCAGGAGAGTGCTATTGGAAATGAAATCAACGAAGGAAAACCCGCGTTTGCACGAGCTTGTGTCCGCATCCAGGGAGTAGTAAAATATCTGCTCCCTGGTTCTGTCCAACGCTGTACAGTATTGCCCCCAAAATGTATTACAAGTATGTATATGAGCTGAGAGAATTCCTATCAAACCAGCCGTGTTTTAGTATTTTAGTATTCACATATTTTACCGCTAGCTCATTACGATAAGCTTCTCGGCAATCAGCAATCAGAAATGCAGAAGCGGAACGAGGTATTACTTTTGCTACACAAAATACTTTATCTCTATTATGCAAACCTGTACAATAATAATAATATTATTATTATTATGAGCTGGCTTACCAGCATGTCAACTGTTTATCAAGCTCACCGACGATCTCTTTGAAATCGGGACGGGTTGCCACGTTGGCGCTCCAGCACCGACGCATCAGACTGTCATAATCGGAGGGGACATCGGCCGGCACGGTGGGTCGTTCGCCGGAGAGAACGGCGTCACAGATCATGTGGCCAAACGTGTATCTGTCCTTGAACGGCGACTGGCGTGTATAGGCCTCCCAGAGCACGATGCCAAAACTACAGGATTGCAGCAACAACAACAATACAGAGAAAGAACATGATGATTGTGATCAAGTAAAACTGAGGCCAAGTGACAATATGACAAGACACGATCATCGATCATTTTCTGCTTTCACCAACATTGGGTAGAGATCGAAGCAAAACCCTCCAAGCACAACATTTGCAGGAGAAAATCAGATCTTTAGCCGCGGCTCAGTGTAATCAAAAGGCGTAGGGGCACCACCAGGCAAAAAATCACATTCAGAATCTGACTTGAACCATTTCAAAACTGGAATCCAAAAAGGGATTTAGATACAAACCTGACAATCATAATTATTATGAATCCTTTTCGGCCTTGATAAGAAAAGTAGTGATAGGGTTTTTAGCGGGTTTTGCATTCCAGCTATTCAAATCTACCAGGGAGCACAGCATTCAAGCCGCATGGCCTCAAGAAGGCTGGGACTGTAGCAGAGATACAAGTCAACACGCCTACAATAGAGTGCAGCAATGAAGGCCAGCAGTACCTGTAAACATCCGTGTCCGTGCCGTAGACTTGGCATTGAATCATCTCCGGCGACTGGTATGGCAACGTGCCAATCTGAAAAGTGACATCATCACAGTTTGCCAGCAGCGGACTGTCGGCGCTATACACCGACATCTCCATGGTGGCGCTGTCCTCACGCACCAACTTCTTGCGAGCTTTGTCAAGGTACGAGAGAAGCCGGGCAGTTCCGAAGTCTGCCACCTTCACAACCCACCGCTCGCTTACCAGCAGATTGGCACACTTCAGGTCACGGTGGATAATAGATGGTGAAGAGCCATGCAGGTAGGCCATGCCTTTGGCCGCATCCAACATGAAGCGAAGACGATCCATGTGGCTCACGGCCACTGAGCTGTCAGCAAGGATAGATTTCAACGAGCCCCGCTTGACGTATTCCATTGCCAGGAAAGGTTCGTCCTTCGGGTCCGTGCCCACGCCGAGGAAGAGCACAATGTTTGGATGTCGGTGGGTCTTCATCAGCTCCACTTCTCTCTGGAACTCCTTGATTGACGCTTCGTCCTGCAGAAAGTGACTGTGCAGCTTCTTTATGACTATCAATGTATCGTTCAGCTCGGCCAGCCATACTTCACCGAAGCCACCATGCCCGACTACATGTCGAGGCTGTATTTGGCTCCACTCGATTCTCCAGGCAGCCATTAGGTCGGAGATGCGCTTGGTCGAGGCGCGCAGCTCGCGGCTCAATTCCTTGGCTCTGGCTTGCCTCTTTCGGAAAAGGTATAAGGACAAAACGATGACCAGCATGGACACATGCACTGCAAGAACAGTGGCAACAATAATGTACGGCTCTCGGCAGTTGTCGCTAGGGTCGTATCCAAAGTCGCAGAAGCACGATGGCCGGCCGTCAAAGAGACGACAGGTTCCGTGAAGGTGACAGAAGTCATCCACGCACGGGTTGCAGTCATACAGCGAGGTGCTGGAGCGTTTCAGCGTTGTCGTGGCATTCGGGCACAGGTTGCACGTACGACCATCGTTTCCCCATGTGCCTATTGGGCAAGGCGTACATACGTCGGTTTGCTTGTTCCGCAGAAAGCCGGAGCGACACAGCCCGCTTTCAAGAAACACAATTGGCGGCCGGCTGATTTGGTGCCCAAACACCCAGCTCTCCGACTGGGCCGCCATGAGAATATACCCACTATTGACTGGGACAATGTTGATGCCGCTGCTACTGACATGCATGAAGAAATCTCCTATTTGCTCAATTAGGAACTGGCCACGAGAATCAATTCTGAAATCAATCAACTGCGCTTCCTGCGAACCACCAGAAGAATTATGGCCGCCAAACAGCAGCAGCGAATTGGCGCTATATTGGAAAAGAATGTGCCCGATACGACCACTAACTTGATTCGCGGGTGTGTTCACTTCGTTCAACGTGTACGTGGCTGCTGCAGGGTTGACGGACATCGTGAAGAACGCGTTGGACAGGTCCAACAGGTCCAGTACTGCCCACACTGCCGAATGGGTACCGCCGAACACCAGGTGTCTGCCGTGCACCGTCGTGACGCTTGGCGAGGATAGCGGTGACATTATGTGACGAGTACTGGCATTGAGTGGCTGCCATGAACCTTGACATTGTCCAACACTGCCACTGAACGAGAATAGCCACACGTCCTTCAAGTTATGGAATTCAAAGAGACTGGCTGCGGGTGCTACTCCGCCAAATATCACAAATGAAGACGCGTTCACTGCGAAGCCTGCATGATTGAAGCGACCAGCAGGTACGTCCTTCCCTAGATACCGGCCTTTTCTCCATGTACGGTCGCAAGCATTGAAACACCATAGCGTTGAGAGACCCTCCAGAGGTGGCTCGAGAGTATCAAGAATTGAGCTGAACTTCATTCCCCCGTGCACAACTGTTATGCAGCTAGTGTCTGCGTCCGGTAGTGTAAGATAGAACCTCCCGCCAAGCAGTCCACCCTCGCTATCCGTGGGATTCTTGGACATGAAATAACGCCTGTATGGCAGTCGGACACCAGGTGTTTCTCCGTCAAACACTGGCAGGCCATTGCCAGCCCCGTAGAATGGTATCTCGGTGACTGTAGAGAGGGAGTATGGGTCCAGGGTGGAATCCCAAACCGACCCACCAAGCAGGACACTCGATTGCGTGCTCCCTAACGCGGTGGCCGTGATGAAGGGCGGCTGAAACATGATCATGGTCCGCGCAAACTTTATGGCAAGTGCGGGATAGAACTGGGCCGCGTTGTGTATGACGGGGTGGAATATACCTTCGGACAGTCCCCGCGACGTATTGAGATTGATCTCGAAGAGATAGGGCGATACATCAGTGACGAGCTGTACTACTCCGCTCCCGGCCACCAGGTGGGACGTAATGACTGCAAGCTCGGTACCGTGGACGTTTCTGTACGTCCACTCGGAGCTGCTGCTGCCTGCAAACGACCTCGTGTAGACGGAGTAGGAGATCACGGACGTCATGGCGTGCTGGGACTCCTGGATGACGACGGCCAGCGTGCCGTCACTGCGGTCAAACACCGACAGCGTTCCTGCAACAGTCCAGCTGCCGCAGTCCCTGGGAAACCGGCCTCCGCTCCTCCACAGCCGCTCCGTCAGGTTGAACAGCATCACCTCACATTCGGCCGTGCTCAGGTTACTGACAACCTCCTGTCCGGCAAACCATATCAACTGCTCATTCAGTTCATCATAGTACAGACTTGCATACCGCCTGTTGGGCAATTCCGAATTTTCTGCAATTACTACTTCACTCCCCACTGCGGACGTCGCTCCATTCAAGAAGTCCACTTGCCACATGCTCTGAAGCCCGGTGATATTGCCAGTGAGTCCAAACAGACTGAACTCGACACCTTGCGCATCTTGTCCTGATCCGCTGCTGGTGGGACGAACTGCTACAACGGATGCACTGCTCAGGGACAGGCCGGGATAAAACGACATGGCGGCATGAAACAACTCTCCATCTCGCCACACGTACACTGCCTCCGTACCATTTTCCTGCCACAAGCCCAGGATCACCAGCTCTCGGCCCAATGGCGAAATCACCGCGCTCGGAATCAGTCCGGCTTCGTTGGGCGGGAGCGCGCAAGCAGGCTTCACATCGGCACAGCTGATATTCCTCTGAATCCATGTCGTGAAGCCCACAAGTGAAGGGTCCGGCGCCGAAGGATATAACTGAATTGTCAAGTTGGTCTCGGCGTACGGCATGTTCTTCACTCGGCCAGAGACAGTGATTAGAGGTATTACGGTGGCCTCTCGCTCGAAAATGTCCAGCATGGGAAGACTTACGGTCATCATCCGTGATGGTTTAAGGTTCTTCTGCTGGAGCTCCCACCGCAACTGGTTGCTGTCGATGTCGATGTCGATATCGATGATTCCAGACAGGTCTGGCGGCGACGGCACAAGGTTGACTGGCCGCAGGGGGTTGTCGATGGTTCTGTCCTGTCTCACACTCACGTGCCTGCTACCAGCTGAATACACAGTCGACACAAGCAACAAACCAGCCGTCATCATGACAAGCAGCCGGCATCGTGACTCGGTGTACCTCCTTGGCGAGTAGCTCCGCATCATTTTAGCAGGCATTCCCGGCGACCTGTGGCGTTGCAAAGAGAAAACCAAGAGAAAGGACTGAAAAATAATAGAGGAGTTCAGACATTTCACTTCAACAACACTAGCTGGTCAAAGAAGAATGTGGAGTTTACAGGTGTCCACTCGATAGTGACTCTACTTTCTAGCGCCTATTTTGGAGAATTTCAATTTTAGACTACAAAAATTGCACGTGTTTGCATACAGGGCGGATCAAGAACTGCCTTTCCGCTTCCGTGGGACGCCACCACCGCCTGATCAGGCGTTAGATGTGGCTCATAAACGATGGGGAGGATACCTCAGATTCACCAGCAAGAGGCCAATGGCCGAAATCCCCGATTGCCACATCCATTTTCGACTACAACCTGTGCTTCTGAATCACGTGACAGTGCGCCCTCGACCTGTCCAATGCTCTGTGAAGACCCGGAAACAACCTGCATACCCACCCTTGGTGACGCCAGCCCTGATCAATGCCATCAAGTTGAAACATGATTTGTACAGTATCTTCAAAAAGTGTCCTACCGCAAGTAGTAAAACTGCCTTTAAATCTCAGCGTACCCTAGTCTGCTCTCTCTCCAGATCTGCTCACCGATTGCATGCCCGTTCAGTACGATCTACCTTGTCTGACGCCTCCGCGAGACCTACTCTGTATCAGTTTGTGCGAAGTCAACGTTCTTATGTCAATCGCATGTCCATTCCTGACCTTCACGGCTTCAGCCAGCATCTGGGTGTCTAGCCACTGACCCAGTTGCAACAGCTTCTGCGCTGAATGATCAGTTCGCTTCAGTGGCTGCGGTGGATGATCCATCCTGGCCTTACCCCACATTGCCTAGACACTGCTCCATTTCCTCCTCGTTTTCTTCTCTGTACACCACGACTGCTGCGGTGCGTAAGTATATCATAAGATCCAAACCGCGAAAGTCACCAGGGCTAGATCGTCTGACCAATGACGTTCTAAAGGCCTTGTGTCCGGCAGTTTCGTTTCCCCTTTGCCTTGTATTTAATCTTTCGTTTTCAACTGGATTTCCAACTGTTTGGAAAACCGCCAAAATTATCCCCTTATTTAAGAACAAAGGTTCGCCGTCTAACCCTGCCAATTATCGTCCCATTTCCGTTCTCAGCTGTGTATCCAAAATATGTGAACGAATTGTCTTTGGTCAACTCCACGCTCATGTGAACTCAGCAATCAGTTCAAAAAAGCCTGGTTTCTGTAGAAGTGATTCTACTGTCCTTCAACTTAGTCGGATCATGCAGGATATTATTATTGGGACAGGGGACAATAATTATGACAAGGGTTATGCTTCTTTGACTTGCGAAAGCTTTTGACACCGTGTGGCACAGAGCCTGCCAGAGGCCTGTTATCTAAGCTCACTGATTCATTTCGTATTGATGGTTTGGCTCTGCAGTGGCTGGCGAATTATCTAACGGACAGGCATCAGATAGTGTCCGTCCTTAATACGCACTCTAAACCCCTTCCGGTTCTTTCTGGTGTTCCGTAGGGCTCCATACTGGGTCCTCTTTTATTTCTACGTGCACTTTACATAAAATGATTTGCCGAGTGTTGTTCCCGATACTTCGTTGTGCGCTGATGACACTGCGCTAATCAAATTCTGCGCGTCTCTCCCACAACTCCAAGCCTCCCTCCAACTGGACATTGACGAGGTAGTGGCTTGGATGTGTCGCTGGCACCTGTCGCCAAACCGCAGCAACACGGAGGCAATTGGATGCGCTCCTCCAGACCCAGTCACCCTGTGTTTCCCAGGATCGTCCAACAGCATCGGACTGGTAAGAAGCCACAAACACTTGGGCGTACGTATTGACTCTGCACTTTCCTGGTCAGAGCAAGTTAATGATGTTTGTCGTCGCACTAGCTCCGCCCTTGGAGCACTCACTTCCCACTGTTCCCATCTCCCTCATAGTTGTAAAATACTTTTCTACCGTTGCTTTATTTTGCCTCTGTTCGACTACGCCGACACAGCATGGTGTGGTCTAAATTCAACTTTGTCCACAAAACTTGAAACGCATCATAAAAAGGTTATCAAACGGTTATTTGGACTGCCTCAGTTATTCACGTGGCAGTGCCCAATTATATTCTCAGACCGCCTCATCTCCGCTCTGTGAGCGCGGCCAAGCCCACTTATGTACCCTTGCTAATAAATAAATAAATTTACGGTTCGCGTGAGACTCGGTTTATCTACATGTATATAGAGGCCGAGTTTTCCGCATCCATAGGAACGCCACCACACTTCAAGGATCAAGGCGCAGATGCAGCTCCTAAAGCGGTGGGAGGTGAGTAGATCAGCTCACCAGCATGTGGTCAAAGACCGAAAATCCCATTCACTGCATCCATGTTTTATAGAATTTATCTTAAACGAATTTCCCAACACTTGGGAAAGTATGACTGGTTCCAGCGTGATAGACCTACTCGAAATCAAAATAATATCATTGCCTGCTCCTCGTTTATCTTTGTTTCCAAACTCACCTGTGTTTATGGCATTTCGATTTTGGCTCTCCGTTTCCTATAGTATTCGACGTGCCGAGACACTTTCCGCTTTCAACAAGGCTCTTCGTAAGTCACGCTCCTCTTTTATTTTATTTTATTTAGTTATTTTCTTCTTTTTAATTTGCATTTTTGCCCTCAGTCCGTGGTTGGTTTCACCCTCACTACCTTGTATTGGCTATTTTTATTATGTGCCATGAAGTGCAGACAGTAAATGCCATAGCTGGTTATCGCCCTCATCTCTGGGGTTGCTCCCCACATTAGCAATGCGTGCACATGCTACGAGATTGAGTTTAATAATAATAAGGGGTCGTCGCAAAAGTTTTCTGTCGTCCCTGAAACGAACATCGTTCATTTCGTACTTGGACCCCCTCCCCTCCCTCTGAAACGAACACAGCTTGCTATGCTGGACGACGAAAATCGCATGCATGTACATGTCATATGTACAGTGTCGGTCGACTTGCGATTTTGGCTCGCACCCCCTCCCCCCCAAATGAATCATGTTCGTTTCAGGGACGACAAAAAACTTTTGCGACGACCCCTAATAATAATAATAAATACATAGCAGACTCAGCGGAGGACGTTCAGGTTGGTTGTAACTCTGAGTTTCATGCCGCTAGGCAATCATCAGACAACTGATACTCGAGTCTACCCAACAGTATGCTTATAAACACATAGGGCCACAAGCATAAACAAATTTAGCGCTAAATCTGGTGTGAGGTATGGGGAGAAAGCTGGCATGGGCCAAGGCGCGACAGTGGAAGTGCCAGGAGGGTGGCGGGCAACAGGCAGGTGTGATTTTTTTTAAAATAATAATAAATAAATATATTAAAAATAAATGTATCCATGCATGTGGCCATGAGTAGTATACATGTATCCCCCCCCCCCCCACCCCCCCGGTACCACTCCCACAAACCCTGCTGTCCCGTAGGCATATGCGGATAATGCCGGCAGGAAAATTGGCAGAATTCGGTACTTTTTCTGGTGAGTTTCATGCATGTTTGGTATGTGGATAAAGAAATGGAGCAGAATTCGAGAAATTGCCCGCCATAAGGTTTGTATGGTTTTGCCAATTTCACTGCTTTTCGAGCAGAATCTGCCACCTTTTCGAGCATTATCCGCCAATGCCTAATGTCCCGACAGAATTTCAAGTTGACGTCATTTTTATGACGCAATGGTCTTCGCATGAGTGATTTGCGATGTGTGCACGGGATGTCAATGCATCACACGGGCTTCCCTGTACAAGATCAGGCTGGATTTGTGCACTACAGGTAAAGGATATGTCTCATTATACGTGTATAATGCGCATTGCGTCATAAACATTTAGTGACGTCAACTTGAAATTCTGTCCGGACATCACCTATACTAGTGGAATTGCACCCTCTTGTGGGATTATGACTCTTGATGTGGCTGGAAGTGAGCATGCAATCCGAAATGATTATTATTATAGTGCATTTTTGTAGTTAGCATTTCATTTTGAGAACTTGATAGTTTGCAAGGGTTGTATAGACAGGTGATGTACTCGTAGCCATGCTCTAAACAAACCCCATCATACAGGGTCTGATGAATACGACAGAGGTGGCAAGTGTGCACTGATCGTCAGCTCTCAGTGGCTTCCATTACGAGGTCGGAGGTTGGTTTTCATTTCAACGACCGTGCGTTATATCTACAATGTACCTGACGTTTGTGGCAATTAAAAAAAATAAATAAAAAAAAACGCGACCATCCCACGGTGCAAGCAAAATCTGTCTTTAAAGGCAGGTGGTCTTTAGAAGCAGGTCCCACAGTTTCTGTGTAGAACTGTCCGCGCATGGAAAAACGGCCGTTAAGAGCAGGTGGTCGCTAAACCCAGAGGTCGCTTACACCATGTTTTACTGTAGTATGAGAGTGTGTGTAACCATGGTAACCGCGCAGTCCATTTCAATGAATCTTCACTGAGATGAATCATTATTCATTTCTTTCTTGCCACAGAGGTGTGACTGTGCTGGGCAGGGTTTATATGTATATTGCTCAGCCTGTTTCCTGAGTAGTGCTGCCAGAGCCAGTTTATCAACGGGGCGGAGTGTTGAGGAGTATTGTTGGCTGTGCTGCCATCGCATACTGTATAACACGTTTATTTCGGTATAACTTCAATTTCGGTAAAGAGCCTAAGCTCGCTATTGACAGCATGTGCATACCAATCAGGATTCCTCCGCAATAAGCGTTAGTTACAAAAGAATATGCATTGAATTTCACAGATAAATCATGTGTGTACATTTCAAGCCCCGAAGTACAATCAATCATGACTGTCATGTCAGTGTTCATGTCCGTGGATTTTCGAATATTCATTCATCGCCGGCCCTTATCTAGAACAACTCAGAAACTGTGGTCAGCAGATGAGTGGGCTTTTCAAGTGAACTGAAAAAATCTTGCCTAAGCAGATCGTATCACGCATTGATTCAGTATTGGCGGATGCTTCAGTTCATGATTCAGTAGGAGTGAGGTTGGCTTACCGTTTTCCTCGGAGGCAATGCCGATTCACCAATTTTATAGTGGTACAGTGCTGGATGTCAAGAAGCTTGTTCATCAGTTACCGTTAGTGCTCGCTGAGCCAAGCTCATTTTCTCTCAGGACTTCAGCTGGGTAGCAACTCCTTTCAAGCACAGCTAGATCTAGGTAGCGGCGCGGAGACTCTTGTTCTCGGACTCAGCGCTAGGTCACACTAGTGCTCCTGCGACAGGACGGTAGACCCTATCGAAGTGGTTTGGTAGACCTACTCTCAGGGAAAGCCACTAGTAGGCACTACACGTATACGTAGAATCTACCTAGTCCTACCTGGAACAGACTGACAAAACACTGAGCTCCATTCCCTGCCACGACTGGCACGAGGCATGATCCATGTAATGATGATACTGACCTAAAATACGTGATACTGTTAGATCTACGCTCTACACTAGACACCGGCTTTGTAGGACAGACTCAGTACTAGGAGTAGGAAACGAGTTACACGGCGCTGTGATGGGTCCGGGTCAAAAGTACAAAATGCGAGATGAGATCGAACGACACGTTACGTGTATAGCAGCGATGACAAGGAGAACTTTTGTTTTTGCGCGTTTTTGCGAACTGTTTGAAATACTGGTAGGGAGTTCAGTTCCGGTCACAGAAAAGCGAAAAGTGCAGTCACAGCTCGCCTGTACAAAATTGAATGGCCGCCTCGTGACTGCAGTTCGAGATGCAGTTCGAGGCCCGAGTACTGAGCTGAGTATCTTCTCCCGCGGCCTTTTCGGCCATGTCGATTAGGGGTGAAACGGTTCCATGTTTTTCATGTTCGGGTACCCGAATGCCAGCATTGTTTCCCACGGTTCGGGTATCGGTTCCATGGACTCTTTTGTCCAGACCGACAAAATGCGTTCGCGACAATTATTTTTTAGAAAAAACAGTTTTACGAGCAAGAATGAGACATCGGAGAGTCCAAGTGCGAAGAAGATAATGACCAGAGAACTCTTTGGTAGAGTGGGGATCGTAAGGCAAGACATTAAAATCTTGAGTAGACTTCACGTGTACATGTATTTGTACAAGAACGAGATTTTTCGAGTTTCGGTTCGAAATTTGACGGAACGGGTACCCGATTCTTTTCAGCTGGCGGTTCCAAAACCGGTTCCTTACCCGAACCGTTTCACCCCTAATGTCGATGCTATTTTTAGGTAGCTGTACCCATGTGACACATGCCATGTTTCCAAAAATAATGCCTCCGCGCTTGGCGCGGATGCACTTCGAAGTACATGACTGTTTGGCGTGCTCGATAGAATTGCACTGTATTATTTATTATTTATTGAGGAGCAAGAAAAGTGTTACCAAACAGTATGAATGCCAAAGGAAAAGAGCAAAGAGAAAGAGAAGGAGAGACAAGGAAAAAGCAATAAGGAGAGACAAATGCGTTTATGGAAATTCGTAGATACGGTACGGTCCGCACAGGGACGTATGTGAGCAGGTACACTGAACGTGGGAAACGTATCCGAATACGGGGGTACATAAAATAAACTCTACCGTACGGGAAATGTGTACAAGTCAATCTGAGGTCATGCAAACCAAATGTACAACGATGACGAATAAGAAACCTGCATGACGAATATAGAAAAGGGAAATGAAAGTTGCTGATGCGATTTCATGATAAGTATTAAATTCTGTGCCCAAGGTCCGAGTCTAGAGTCGTACTGCCACAGTATTCCCCACCCAGAGAACGAGTGCGGGAACAATCAAGTGAACGATAAGAAATCAAAATTTACAGGAAAGAAGTACAGTATGGAATACTAGCAGCGGAAAGCGGATGATGCGCAGCGCAGCAAGTCAATCAAGCAAATGCGCAGGCTTAACACGATCAACAGAGACAGTCTGGTCCTTACCATTGATACGCAGAGTGAAGTACTTGGGACTGCGCTTGACCATGGGGAACGGACCATCGTACGGCGGTTGGAGTGGGAGCCGAACTGCGTCACGGCGCAAATACACTTTAGCGGCTGTGTCCAAATCGCGAGGCAGATAGACAGGATTCATGCTAGTACGGACAGGAAGAGGACGGATCTGCCGCAGGAAGGTAGACAGGCGAGATGCGTAATCACTGCGGTCGCTGGCAGGAGTCAGGGAACTAGACGGGAAGAATTCACCAGGAAGGCGCAGCGTTGTACCGTAAACTAGTTCGGACGGTGAACAGTTGCTATCAGCCTTGGTCGATGTCCGGATGCTGAGCAGAATAAGTGGTAGCGCTTCCAGCCAGTGGGTTGAGTCAGACAGAGTCCGCAGTGATGATTTGACATGCCGATGGAATCGCTCGATTAAACCATTGCACTGGGGATGGTAGGCGGTGGTGCGCTTGCGCTGGCATCCCAGTAGCGTCATCAAACTGTTCCAGAGGGCCGACTCAAATTGAGCACCACGATCCGTGACGAGAGAAGAGGGTACACCAAACCGGGCAATCCAGCCTGACACTAAGGCAGACGCAACAGTGGATGCAGTGGCATCGGGGATTGGAAACGCCTCAGGCCACCGGGTGAATCGATCAATGCACGTCAAGAGATAACGATTGCCGTTGCATGAAGGAAGGGGACCAACGAGATCGATGTGGATGGAATCAAAACGCTGATCCGGCACAGGAAAGCTACCAATAGCAGAGTGGGTATGACGCTGGACTTTAGCGCGCTGGCACGAGTCGCAGGCCTTGGTCCAAGTGGCAATATCCTTCTGCATAGCTGGCCAAACAAAGCGAGCAGAAACTAGCCGTCGGGTTGCACGAACACCAGGATGACTGAGGCTGTGAATAGACAGAAATATATCGTGGCGAAATTTCTGCGGCACAAATGGGCGAGCTACACCGGTGGACACATCACAGACAAGCAGAGAGGGACTGCCGGGCACTGGAAGGCGCTGGAGCTTGAGTGGTGAGTCGGGCTTCGACATGTAGGTAGCCAACTCAGCATCAGTCTCTTGGGCAGTGGCAAGAGCGGTGAAATCAACAGCGTGCGATTGGCTAACAGCATCGACGTCAGGGCGAGATAGAGCATCGGCGACAGTATTCTCCGAGCCTTTCACGTAGCGAATGTCGGTCGTAAACTCAGCAATGTACGACAGCTGACGAAGCTCACGAGGTGAATGACGTGAAGAGGACAGATTAATAGCAAATGTCAGCGGCTTGTGGTCTGTCAGGATATGGAACGAACGGCCCTCCAAGTGATGCTGAAAATGCCGGATTGCGAGGTAGATGCTCAGCAGCTCACGACCAAAGGTGTGATAGCGACACTGTGTGGGGCTCAGCTTCTTGGAGAAGAAAGCGATTGGTTCCCACTGACCAGAGACTTCCTGCTGCAGCACTGCACCAACACAGAAGTCAGATGCGTCCACCATGATGTTGATTGCAGCATCTGGAGCAGGGTAGCAGAGAAGAGTGGCGTTGCGGAGGGCGGTCTTCACAGCTATGAACGCATGCTCGGCAGTGTCGGGCCAGCTGAACGAGGTGTCATGTTTCTTCTTACCACGCAGCAGGTCATCTAGCGGCTTCATGAGGTCGGCACAGTGAGGAATAAACCTTCGGTAAAAGTTCACCATGCCGACAAAGCGGCGCAACTGCTTGACGGAGGAAGGCGGCTTGAAATCACGCACGGCAGTGACTCGTTGTTCCAGAGGGAAGATTCCACTGCTGGTGATACGGTGGCCGAGAAACGTGACGGTTGAGACTGCAAACTGACACTTTGCGGGGTTTATGACCAAACCATTGTCGGCAAGGCGTTGGAGAACTGCTCGACAATGGATTCGGTGGGATTCCATGTCCCTGCTGGCAACGAGAACATCATCCATGTAGCCATTGCCACAATCCAGACCGCGTAGGACATCATCCAAGAACCGTTGGAAGGTTTGAGCAGCATTGCGTAAACCAAATGGCATGCGAACAAACTCAAATAACCCAAATGGGGTAGTCACAGCTGTCTTGGGGACGTCCTCTGGTGCAACAGGTATCTGGTAGAATGCCTTCACCAAGTCCAGCTTCGTGAACACTGTGCATCCTTCCAGCGATGACGTAATGTCATGGATATGAGGCACTGGGTATCTGTCCGGAACAGTAGCCTTGTTTAAAGCACGGTAGTCCCCGCATGGTCTCCAATCTCCATTCGGTTTTGGCACCATGTGGAGTGGGGTAGACCATTGCGACGAGGACGGACGAATAATGCCGGAGTTTAGCATGTGCTGAAACTCAGCTCTGGCTGTGCGCAGGCGGTCAGGTGCCAGGCGACGTGGCTTAGCATGCACTGGCTGGCCAGAAGTCACGATATGATGTGTCACCTGATGCTGAACAGGACGGTCAGGCTGAGTGCACGGTCGCATGACATCAGGAAATTCAGCGAGAATTGTGGCAAAGTCCGGATTGTCAGCAGTAGGTAGAACACACGTCGGATCGCTGGATGCTGTGGCTATGGCTGATATCGTTAAACTGGTACTGTCGTCCAGGAGACGGTTGCCATTCAAGTCGACCAAAAGGTTGAAATGTGCCAGGAAATCGGCACCAATGATTGGACGCTGCACATCTGCGACAATAAATACCCATTGGAACTGACGCCGAAGACCTAGATCCACCGTCATGGAACGCTGACCAAATGTGGCTATTCCACTGCCATTAGCTGCTTGGAGCCGGTAGTCTGACTGGCGACGCCTTTCGAGAGGTGTTGGTGGCACAACACTCACCTCGGCACCAGTGTCGATTAGATAGGCAGATTGGGACAGGCGATCCTTGACATGTAGGCGGCGACCAGTTGAGCAGCCAGCAACACTAGTCGCCTCTAGGTGCTGGCGGGGGCGTTTCCCTGAAGATAGGCGCAGGGAGCAAAGCATCTGTTGGCCCGCGTGCCAAACTTCTTATGGTAACGGCAGATCTGATTGTCTGGTGTGCCAACTCTGTCTTGAGTGCCAATTTTGGCAGTAGCCGGTGAGTTGGAGCGAGACGAGCGCTGACCATGTTGACTGAATGGCGGGCGACCACGTTGGGTTAAGGCATGGACGGTGCCAGACAATTCAGCCACTTGGGCGGAGAGGCTCTCCACGACAGCATACAGTTCCACACTTGGCTCAACAGAGCTAACTGCCGGTGGACGGGCAACTTCAACAACCCGATCGGCCATCTCGGCTAAAGCTTCCAGATCCAAACTTCCAGGCGCAGAGGCAAGCACCATTTGCACATTGGGTGGCAATCGCTGCACAAACAGCTCTTTAAGGAAAGACGGATCAATGGGCGAATCCCCACGGAGCTGGCGAAGGCGGCGGAGGAGTTGCGATGGCTTTTTATCGCCAAGCTCCTCCTCAGTGAGCAACTGCCGCAAGCGCCGTTGCTCGGAGGACTGCGTCCGCTTTATGAGTTCAGAGCGCAAGGCAGTATATGGATTTGTTGGCGGCCGGTTCATCAGCAGGTCCCGGACCTCAGCAGCAAACTCCGGGGCTAGTGAGGCAATCACGTGATCAAACTTCGTGTCCTGCTGAGTTATCCCACGAATACGGAACAGAGATTCCGCTTGGCTAAACCAAACAATTGGATCATTGGGCCAATATGGCGGTAGCTTAAAGCTCACAGCTGAGACAGCAGCAGGAGCTGAAGTTGCCTGTGGCATTACTGAGAATCTAGGTTGAGGACTGGAAGCTGTGGTACCAGATGTCGTAGTTGGGGTTGATTGCAAACCTCCAGTGGGAGGAGTACTACTCCGCAACTGTTGATTTGAGCGGCCTCTTCCGATAGGTGTTGTCGCCATCTTGGCCAATACTAATACTGTGGTTAAATAGGTAAACTTCACTTAAGATGATCAAAAAAATACTCGACGGGGTCACCAACTTTGGCGTGCTCGATAGAATTGCACTGTATTATTTATTATTTATTGAGGAGCAAGAAAAGTGTTACCAAACAGTATGAATGCCAAAGGAAAAGAGCAAAGAGAAAGAGAAGGAGAGACAAGGAAAAAGCAATAAGGAGAGACAAATGCGTTTATGGAAATTCGTAGATACGGTACGGTCCGCACAGGGACGTATGTGAGCAGGTACACTGAACGTGGGAAACGTATCCGAATACGGGGGTACATAAATAAACTCTACCGTACGGGAAATGTGTACAAGTCAATCTGAGGTCATGCAAACCAAATGTACAACGATGACGAATAAGAAACCTGCATGACGAATATAGAAAAGGGAAATGAAAGTTGCTGATGCGATTTCATGATAAGTATTAAATTCTGTGCCCAAGGTCCGAGTCTAGAGTCGTACTGCCACAACTGTACTAATTTCGACCAGATCCGTACTCGGCCCCGCGAGGAACACCCGATTTTCGTGTTCAGCGGCCTCGAATTTGCCTAAACCAAGAGGATTCTAGAACATTGAGGCTCGCGCTTTATCGCGGTAGAATGAAGATGATCACAGAAACCAGGCCACGGCGATTTCCTGGTTGTAGACGAAAAAAATCGAGTGAACTGCGCGCACACTGTAGAAGCAGTGACGGTGAAAACGTGTGACTTGTGCAAGCAGGCGCGCACGGCATGCGTATCGCCATACGGCCATGTATGCACCATGTACCAGATAGTGCAGTGCTGGACGGAAACCACACGGCTCACATACATACTTCTGTGACTACTTTCTCCCCCGTTTTCCGATCTTCAATCGACTATAACTCTAGATTACCTTGGAATTTTGGGTTCAAATTTTCACAGGTTGTTTCTCACATCTTCCCGGTTTAGAAAAACTAGCGTTTTATGCGAAACTCACGAATTTGGTTTTTCGATTGAAGTCCCTACCACTGGTCCCATGGCGTTCGTTCTAAAGATGTTTGACCGTAATTATTTGTAATATCAAAAAAGTATTCTTTCTATACCAAAGAGTGGTATACTTGATAACATTTAATAACGATAGAAATATTAACGATACTTCTCCAGACGTTTCGTTGTTCTGAACAACATCGTCAGTGGATAAAGAATGGAGGGCTTTGGGTGGTGGCATGGGTTAATAGGGAGTGATGGTGGTGAGATGAGGTGAGGTGAGAAGGTGAAGGTGGGAAATACATGTATCTAAGTTAATGGTGAAGGTTAGGTGCGGGTCGATACAGGTGGGAAGGGGTACACCCTTCGGGTAGAAGTGTAGGTTGGTAGAAGGTGTTGGTGTGCGTAGAAGGTGGAGTGGCGTAATGGAAGTGTCGGGTTGATAAATGTGGGAGAGAGTCTAGGTAGGGTGTGGATCAGCAATAGGTGTTGGTGTATGTGGTGGGTAGAATTGGCAAGAGGTGTGTGTGTGTGTGTGTGTGTGTGTGTGTGTGCTTGCGAAAAAGAGTAAGGTAGTGAGTATTGGTATGCGTGGAAGGAAGATGTGACAGAAGGTGTGCGCTATAGGCAAGGGGTGCAGGAATATTTTGAGGTGGTGGGTGGGACTAAAACAGGAGGTTGTGATTCATCTAGTGATATATATAATATCAGCAATAGCAGCAGTATATACAAAGAGGTGTGTGTGTGTGTGTATGCGTGTGCGTTTGCAAGCTTTTTGGTAGTGTAGTGTGTTGGGGGGGGGGAGAGCACCGGGTGCGGGTGTTCTTCTTCTATTGCGATCATTTTTGGATGGGTTGGCAGATAGTGGATGGTGGTAGGCAAGTTATGCCAAGAATCCAGTTCCCATATCTTCTTTTCTTCTGTTGATAGTTGGTTTCTTGTCGCGAATGGCATATGCCTCACGGATCCGACTTCTAGTCTCATTTAGGGTTCCCAGTAAAAAGGCAACATTGCCTGTTGGGAAATCCCTAACAAAATAAGAAAAAAAAATAATAATAATAATAATAATAATCCGGAGCCTCAGTTCATCCCTCTCCGTGAGCTGAGCAATCTCGTACATAATCTCTGCGGTGGCGTTCGGGTGTTCCCTAGCGTAGTGCACACCGAATGCAGACTTCTTGTCATGAGATTTTGCAGCATTTGTGTGCTCTTGGGCCCGGGTGTGCACTTGCCTCCCAGTCGAGCCGACGTATCTCTCGTGACAAAGGTGGCATGTAGCTTCGTACACGGCAAATCTGCAGGTGCATTTCTTCCTGAACATAGGGCATTCGCGCATTCTGCATTTTTCCGGTTCTCCTTTTCTCTTCGTGAGTTCTTGGATGGTTGGGGGTCGAGGGTTAACGAGGCGTGCCGTTATGCCGTTTTTCTTTTAAAGTGCCTGTCGTACTGGGCCGTTAACCTTGTCGGAGATGTACGGTATTCTAAATACCAGTTGTTTCCCTTTTGTTTGTTTACTTGTGTTTCTTCTTCGGGCTCGCGCTTTGATGATGTGTTCTGCAGAATAGCCGTTCCCTGCAAGTTTATCTGAGATGAGGCGTCTGGCTTCCTCCGCAAACTCAGGCGTGCTGTTGTCTTGTGCTCGTTTGTATTCATTGTTAATGACCGCCATCTTAACCGCCGTTGGATGGTGGGAATCTGCGTGTAGTGTTATTCCTTTGTTTGCTTCTTTTACGTAGAGCTTGTGTGTGACTTTGCCGTCGGGAAGAATCTTTAGTCTGATATCCAGGATTGGTAGGAACCCATCTTCGTCCGGCAACTCCAGTTCAAACTTGATTGTCGGGTGTTTTCCGTTGAGTAATTATTTGCTCATGAAAGCATACAAATTGAAATGTGCATGACGTCATTCATTCCGTTATTCAAGGCGGTCTGAGCTGCGAGTGAGCGCATTGTCCAGATGTACATTGCAGTACAGCAATAAAACTCTAAAAACACATCACACCCGGTACCATTGAGCTCGAGCACTGTAGAACCGTTGAGAAATTCCACTATGCTATGTGAACCAAGCTTGCAAGAACACCGCGACGATGGTCCAGTCCGGGGAAACAGGGACACTGGAGGTCTGAAGTGACTTTCTTGGGATCCCGAGCTTATTTAAAGTTATACTGGAAAATATAGCCCTAGTGTGATACATGCAGTCTCATGGATACTCCGGCACGCCATAACAGGCCAGAAATAGCACATCGAACATATCACTCAAAAGGCTCAGGCTTGCTTGGTGCATGATTGAAGGTTGAGAAGGCGGCAGCAGGGGGGGGGGGGGGGGGGGTAGGTGTTGGCGGATAATGCTCGGTAATATGGGCTATAATGCTCTCAGTAATGCTCCACAAAAGGCCATATAATGCTCCAAATAATGCTGATAATGCTCCTCCGGATGGAATGTAAACTGCTGAACCTTGCGGTATCGGGCTAAGAAAAACGCTATAATATTGCACCCATGCTATGCAACATAGAACGAACAATCTGGATCCGCCGCAGAGACTCAGCTGAACTAACGGCCTTAGTAAGACCGGTGCCGGCTAGAGCCTTCCCAAGTCGTTTCTGATACGCCAAGAAGGACTCCTTGACCAGCTTCTGCCTCTGAGTTTCCCTCTCCAAACGGGACTTTCCTTGTTTGTGTCTCGCGGTAGCAATATGGGACATGATTATACTCTTCTTCCCTGACAATGTTGTATGGCATGCCAGGCACACTAACTTGCCACAGTCGCTTTTGAGCGGCTCCCGCACCCGTGTTTCGGCACTGATGGCCACTTCAGTGCTCTGTCCATGAGCTACTCGCGTCCTTTTTGGAAACATTTCCAGACTTGGTAATAGCTGTTTTCTGAAAAGGCCGCTTCCTCGCTATCGCAGCAGGATCTGAAGTTTCCAGCTCGACGACGTCACTATCATCAGAGGACTCCGCCAAAAGCTCATCTGGAGAAAGCCCAGCTTCCTCCCAATCCCAAGAACGGCATCGCGGCGAGTCAGCCATCAGCGTTGGCTGCTAGTTAGCTGGTCTTACACAATGGTCAATGTCCGGTGAACGTCCAGCGTTACTCTTCGACAAAGACATGGACTCTTGCTTCGATGAAAAATGTTTTTTGTAACATTGTGGACGGTAACCGGGTAAGGTCTGGAATGTGTGCGTGTGCGCACCTCCACCGTTCCATGCTTGCTCACATTTGTTTCGTTGGTTCGGCGTTGTTACCTAGTGTACCTGGATCTTCAAAAAGTGTTAGTTGCTGGCCGAAGATAGACTTCCGGGACCGGAAGTTTCTGCGAGAGTTTCCACACTGTGCTGGACCACAGCTAGCTAGCACTATTGCATGCAGTATACTGGGCCTGGCACTGCGTGCCACGATCTGTTTGGTACCATGCATGGTGTGTGCGGTGGTCTATCGCTTGTAGTAATACTTCGCATAGTAATAATGTTGCCAATCAAAGACCAACGCTATTCCGATACGAATCTGTACATGAGCATGCGTGTAGATCTACTATGCAGTCATGTAGAACGTCGTATAATGCCATTTTTAGCCTCGTAATGCTTTATAATGCTCGTAATGCTCCGGGTGGTGTATAATGCTCGATATAATGCCGGCATTATCCGCCAGCACCTAGGGGGGGGGGGGGGTAGAGGTGAAGAATATCATGTGCAAAAACACAATGTGCAGTACCTGAAAAATCAATGCAGAAAGGTCAAGAATGGACTCAGATGGAGAGCCAAGGTTTAATTTATACAAAAGAGAAAGACCAAGGAACTACGAGGAAATACAGTGCTGTTTTACTGAGGCGGTCGTTTTTTCATGATTCTTGTTCGCATAGCTTCCCCTCTTTTT